TTAAAGGTTTCTTTCCTCCTTCCTTGGATTGATTGATTGATTGATTGATTATATGCCATCAAGTCATTTTTTACTTCTAGTGACTAGATAGATAGATAGATAGATAGATAGATAGATAGATAGATAGATAGATAGATAGATAGATAGATACTCCCCTGGGTACTTTTCTTAAAATAAGTGTTGACTCCTGAAACCTGTAAGGTCCCTTCCCATGAGTCTGTTGATAACTTCTGATCACAATTGCTCCTGGTGATGCAGGTGCTATTGCTGAGTTAAAGTTGGGATGAAGTAAAGCTAAGGGGCTAAACAAAACACAGGCCTTACCACTCTGAACCTCGGATGGCTTCAAAGAAGCTTAGTGGCATGCATTCCAAAGCGAAACCATGCCTTCTGTTCTTCCCCAGTTTAGATGCTTAACTTTGCCCATTCTTGAGAAAAAGGGGCAGAGCCTGAAGCGAAGCAGTACATAGGAATATGGCTCTAGCTGTTCTCTAGGATCAAGTCACAGTAAAGGGAAGGTTGCCCTTCTTTAGAAAAAAACATAAGACTCTGTGTGTCTTTCCACTGGAAATGTGATCAGGATGAAGAAGGAACTAAGGTTCATATTAATTCCACAATGCGTATCAGATTTATCTTAGATTAATCATCACGGCTTCTCTGGGTTCCCCCTTGTTACATGCTTTTCCTTTTCTTTGGCATGATTTACGTGGATGTTCCACATGTTCTGTAATTGAGAAAAACATGATATTCTGCTTCTGGCAAAATCTGGCAGGAAACACACGGGTTTCTCCCTGATTTACCAAAGCAACAGGCTGATGGCAGGAATTCAAGAATGGTTCCAGGCTCTGAGAAAGAAACCCAGTATCATGTCAACTTCTCAGTGCTAGTTACCCCACTTGGATTCTTTAATTGGGGGTACCCAGAGGAGGGCTCAGAAGTTATCTTTGGTATCGATGTTACATTTGTAGCAAGAGAGTCCCAGGCAGGAACACAGAGGATGTAAACTGGAAATGGCCATTTACTAGTGAGTGTGGGAAAAGAAAAGCCAGCTTGTGGTTACCCAGAGGGAAATCTGGGAAGAGAGGGCATAGATTTTGAATTCAGGGAAGTTACAAGTATAGGAATCAGCCTTAATGCTCTGAGACTGTCAGCTGCTTCCACTTGCTACCATTCTTGTGCAATAATAAGAGATCCAGTCCAGCTGGGAAGCTTCAGCTAAGCCTCTCTCCAACTGTGGGGCTGTGGTTTTATTCTTGATTGTAAGCCACCCAGAGTTGGGTTTAAGCTGGGTGGCTATTCAACTGTTTTAAATAAATAAATGACCAGGCTCAAATTATCCTATTTCGGACCCATTATGTGAAGACCTAACTCTCTGGAAAAGGCTTTAATGCTGGGAAAGGTGGAAGGAAAGAGAAGAGGATGACCAGCAGCAGAAAGGTGGAGGGACTCAGTTACAGCAGTGATGGGGGCACTATTGGAAGAGCTGAAGGACCAGGTTAGGGACAGATTATCATGGAGAAAATCTATCTGTGTGATCGACAATGACTTGATGGCAGATAATCATCATGACATGGTAATGGACTTTTAAGTCCATTTGACAGTCCATTTGACAGTCTCAGTGCATTAAGACTGATTCCCATGTTAAATTCTACAGGACTTTTAAGAATCAGGAAAGTTTCTTAACAAGGGTACTGTAAGGATGCATGATATAAGCTACATGGCTTTCTTAACCAAGATCTTGAATGAATTTGGTGAGGTGTTTATGTGCTTATTTTAGACACCTCACTTCAAATCAACTCCAAGATCTGGAGATGTCTCAGAAGCTCTTAGAAATGACAAAGTAAAATAAAAAAATGACAAAGTAAAATTTAAAAAAACTAAAAAAAAATTAAGCCATATCATGAACCTTACCCAACTGTAGCATTCTAAAACCCTTCCATCGTATACCATCTCAGCCTTTATAGCATACAGGGCAAAGATGTGATTGTTCCATTTCTGTTTCGTATTTGTACTTGTATTAATATATTATTGAAAGAAGAATTAAGATTTAAAGGTGTAATGTTAAAATTATGTCCCCAAAATTTGGAATTTGTCAATCCTTGAGGATTGCTGAATATGTCCTGAAACTGCAACTGAAATGTAAAATCTTGGACTGAAAAAATGATGTTTCACTCTCAAGATTTCAACAGGTCATTTGTCAATGGGATGGAAAGACTGATTAATATGACTAAAATTTCAATCTGCTGTGCAAAAAGTAAGCCACTTTATTGTGGGACTGTATTTTATGCACACACTGTGATGCTTTCTTTGTTTTGTTTTACTGTTAAGGCATTTTATACATTTTTCTCTGCCTTCCTCATATTTCAGCACCTAAAATAATAAAAAATGCAAAGAAAACGGATCCCAAATCTGTGAGGATGTTTAGTGTCATTTTCAGAGGGGGCAGAGGATGGATGAAAGGACAATTTATATTTCAATTCCCAACCAGAGAAATGATCTGTTCTTAACACTAAATGATTTGAATGAGCACTGAGACCATATTCAAGATGTCTATTTCCAGAATTGAATCACCAGAGCAGACCCTTAGCCCTAAAACCTGTAAGGTTTGCCCCGTTCGACAGAGAAACTCTCGTGACATGTGTGGTTCACAAAGAAG